TCCTAGTGCTACACGTTCACCACTTTCACACATGCCAAGAAAAAAAAAAAAAGAAGTTCTTTTATCTTTAAGCGATTGGACAATGTTTCACAGTTGTCATGTAAAGAGTTTTAAATAAGGTAAGATAAGATTATAAAACTTTAATTAAGCCTAAAGCAAAATTACAAAATTTGCATGGGAAATGCAGCGCCTAGTAGAAAAGCAGTAACACATAACTTTGATAATAACAAAATAAAATAAGAAATAAAATAAAATATAATAAAATAAGTAAAATACGGCTGCAATAGAAAAGTAAAAGGTAATACTGACAATGATAGTGAGGTAGTAAAGTAATGTCAGACATGATCATGACTATTGGGATATTGCACATTTAAAAAAAATGAAATATTACACAATACATTGACGTGTTGCACATTAAATCAAATATTGCACTTGAGAATAAAATATTGCACATGAAAAAGGACTACTAGGAAAATTATATATATTCTTACAAAAAAGAAGTCCACTGAGGTGCACGATCAAAATATGACATCAACATACCTTAAAGACCTGAAATGTGAAATAAAATACAGTCATCCTCAAATTTATTCATACTATTCCATTAAAAAAAGGCAAAATTTACAATTGTCACGCAAATAACTAGAAACTGAAAAAAAAAAAAAATAATAGATAGAAAATTGCAAAATTCTAATTAAGTGAAGTAAGACATTGCTTTTGAATTGTGTTTGAAACGAATAATAATAATTTTTTTTAAAAACTGTCCCAGACACAAATTAGAGCACTTTGCTGATGAGCAGTGGGCCAAAATCTAAATACCTGTCAACAGGTGCACAAGTCTGATTGAGAATTACAGAAAACATTTGATGGCAGTGATTTGATTGGCTCAAAGGGTTGTTCAACAAAATAGTAGTTTATGGGTCCCATCATGCTTGTTTGCGAGTTTGCTTGTTGTTGTTTTTTTTATTGTTTTTATACATATTTCTGTTGAACCACAATTCAAAAGCAAAATCATAATTACTATTACATTTTTATTTATTATTACTTTTGCCAATTTGAACTTATTTCAGTGACGGCTCGTTTTGGGGTTTTTTTGTGTTTTTTATCCGTCTTTAATGGGAGGATATAAATACATTTGAGGATGACTGTAACTATTGTGGAGAGGGAAAGTATTATTATTATTATTATTATTATTATTATTATTATTATTATTATTATTATTATTATTGTTATTATTATTATTATTATTACTTCTGCAAACACTGTGGATGTTTTTTAGGTTTTTTCCCCCCCGTGTCTTCCATGCATGCCTGATGTCAGGCTGTAGTGTTTGGGTTAAATAAGCCTGTGTGGGCTCCTCCGTGGCTCCGTCCTCTCTCTCCCTGCTGCCTCACTGCGGCCGTTTCTCCAACGTACGTGACGTCGCTTCCTCTCTCCAACATGGCGCAGGAGGCAGGTCGCTAATGGCAATCTGAGGGATTTACCCCACCTTCTGTGTTTATTTATGTTTGTCTGTTAAGGGGCTCGGCGGCTGACATTTGTAAAGGAATACATCTCCATTCGAGGCGGCTGCAGCCCCCCCTTCGGGACCAAGGCACACCTCGCTCCAAATTCCGGTGCGACATGTTTGAGGGCAAAAAGACGAAAAACATGTTCCTTACACGAGCTTTGGAAAAGATCCTGGCCGACAAGGAGGTGAAAAAGGCTCACCACTCACAACTGCGCAAAGCCTGCGAGGTGGCACTTGGTAAGTTGTGTTGTTTTAGCATCACATTGTTTAGTGTCTCATTGATTTGGACACGTCACGCAGCCTTTCACTTATTAACCGGTGATCCTGCAACGATGTCGCAGTGCTTTTCTGTTCTGTGCTGGCTGCCCGCTAGCACCGTGTTATTGTCTTGCATTATAAATCAGCTCAACCTGTGTGTTTAATTGACGTGGCACGGGCTCCGTGGAAATGATTCCGTATAAAACACGGAAATGGTGCAGGAGGGGTGGGTGTTCGCAACACCGACCCGATGCTGCGAAACTAGTAGCGGTGTGAATAGGCCGAATATCGAGCAGAA